TAGTAACAATCTGTGTCAAAACATCCATGAAACCTTCATATTTTCCACAATTGGGGCCTGCTGGTTCTGGAAGCTCATATGGTCCATCATGTTTGTCAATGTCATTCTTAAAGTACTCTAGTACTTCTGCAGAAAAATACTTAGTACCTAGATATGACATTTTAAAACCAAGCTCTCCCTGAGTCTTTAATCGAAATAGACCAGCAGACTAAGGAAAAAAAACAACACGCTTTTAACAATGGGATTAATTTAAAAAAACTGAAACTGGCTCCAAAGAGATTGAACCATTTGAGAAACTTAATTACATTAACCTATTCAAACAACCTCTTGTCTTTTAAGAAAAAAACATCACAGTCTCAATACAACAAATGCCCACAGGCTGCAAAACACAAAACCACCCTTCTGCCTTTGTTTTATGTACAATAAGCTAGTACAATATAAAGGATTAATATATTCAAAATTGAGGCCTATGCTGGTAGAGTATTAAAAAATGAAGGCCTGAAAAAAAACTACTAGGCCTGGACTATTGTAATCAAATCAGCATTCAAATACAAAAAGAAGCAGCATGGAAGCTTAAAAAAATGAAGGCCTGAAAAAAAAACGTCTAGGCCTGAACTATGGTAATCAAATCAGCATTCAAATACACAACGAAGCGGCATGGAAGCCTACTATAGTGTATTATAATGCAGGGCTAGGCCTGTACTCTGATAGTCAAAACCCAATAAAACTCAACTCAGATATTTGAAACCCACAAAAAAAAATACTAATATATTCAAAATTGAGGCCTGATGCCCAAGCTTGTATATTAAAATGGAGGTCTGCAAATTAGCATTCAAATACAAAAAGAAGCCGCATGGAAGCCTACTATAGTGTATTATAATGCAGGGCTCGGCCTGTACTCTGATAACTCAACTCAGATATTTGAAGCACACAAAACACAACAAACTCAGGTATTTGAAACACACAAAAAAACTAATATATTCAAAATTGAGGCCTGATGCCCAAGCTTGTATATTAAAATGGAAGCCCAAACTAGACTCCACACACAATCAGCCCTTGATTTCACATGCAGAGGATAATTAAACAAAGTACTTTTTTTTTTTTTTAATGTGTTATTACCTCATAAATAACCTTTGTAGAAGTCTAAAATTCGTGGTCGCCAAATGTGGTGTATCACCAAATTAATATATATATTACACAAGGTTCGTCTACATTAAAAGGTATTTATTAAAAGGCAACAACACAATACTATAAATGTATCACAAACACACAGCCCAGACCCACGGAGCAACAACCCTTTTAATATCTATCTATCTATATAGTAACCCCTTCCACACACGCTTGATCTCACCCATGGTTAGGCCTTCACATCTAGTAATGGCTCACTGCTACAAGTTCAACATCACATCCACCAAGGAAGAAAAGGAAGCAACAGAGTGTAACATGGTTCACCATGCTAGCCCATGGCGTCTGCACATCTGCTCTGCAGCACAGCCAAGAAGGAACAGAGAGGAATGGAGAAAGGGGAAGTGGTTATCTCTTTCCTGACTTGTAAAGGTATTGAATTACCAATTAACATTTCAAAAGGGTAAAGCTTATCCCACTGTAAGAAAAGCAAACATGAGCTTGGTCACATGACCCCTGGTCACCATATTAGTTTGATGACAGAATGTCACCACAGTAAGCGGCGGGATCGTTCCTACAGCCAGAAGGACAGCTACAGGAGACACCATTTCTTTGGATTTTACAAATTGAGGGCAACACATGTCTGAGTACAGCGACCCTGACAGCACCAGGATGGAACCAGCAGTGGAGTACGATGAGGGTGTCATGGATGACCGAGATGCAGTCTGAAAAGGCATCTGGTACCAGGCACTGGGCATTGTGGAGTACCGGCGGGGCGAGAGACTCCCCAAGGAAGACCAGCGATTGTAGAAGCAACAAGCCCTGCGGATGCCCTTCCTGGGAGAGCAACCCCTGGAGGAATGGGTGAAGGAATTGGAGCTCCGGGTATGGCAGGAGATTTGGCTGGAAGATGCCTACCAGGCGCTCTGGTGGTATGGGGCACAGTACCTGCCCCGGACAGCCGAGCATGACAAGCCAGAGGGAGAGGAGTTTGATGGTCCTGGTTTGTTATGGGAGGCTTTTTCAGAGCCTGAGTTTGGGAGCTCTACACAAACTCGGTTCAGTGATCTCTTGAAGTGCGGGAGAGCAGGGACGACACTCTTGAGATTGAGCAAGACCTGGTCCACCTAGTGACTCGAGAGATGGAGCTGGAGCAGGGCTACCAAGATCTGTTCCACTCCAGTGAGAAGGCTCAGCAGGGAAGCGGAGACCCAGATCCAGACCCATTCAGCTGGGCAGATATTGCAGAATGTTACTGGGAAGAACCCCAGGTGGCTGGTGGAGATGGGACCGAGATCTCTCCACCGGTCCTGCAGGGAATTGGGAGCCCAAGCTCCATTCCCCAGCGGCAGGCTGAGTTACAGGGGACAGAGATAGTTGCTTCTGTCCCCATGCAGCAGAGTGAATTGCAGGGAATTGGGAGCCCAAGCTCCATGTAGCGGAGCGGCAATATTAAATCCCACGATCTCTGCTGGTTAAGAAGGTAATACACAGTCAAGCGCTGAAAAGCAAAGCAATATCCCAAATCTCCCAGTAACTGGATGAAACACAGTTCTGAGAGTCAACTGAGGCTTTATTCACAGGCTCCACAATTTATACAATTCCCCATGCAAGGGATTTCCTGGGTCCTATCCCAGGGGTATTCCAGGAGTGGACTACGTGGGGAACTTACAGTACAGAGCATTTCTCCCATCAGGCACTGCTGCACGAGAGGGATCCTCCCACTGGAATGTACCGTTAAGTGGATTATGCCTCCGTGCAGCAGAACCGGCAAGTTACATTAAAAACACACAACTTTTCGAATATTAGGTCTATTTGCATGAACGGACGTTCGGTAGATAGCTGGGGTCTGAGCGCATCATTCGTGAGATTACCGCTCAGATCCCAGCTAAAACAACCGAACGCCGCACGAAAAACCAAACATGCATTTAAAAGACCGATTAGCATATGGGTAATAAAATACAGAACGGCCCGGAACTCCCAAACGGCCTGAAAGTCCAGCGGTGTTCGCGCCGTCGAGTAGCCGATTTTAGTACCACGAGCTCGACGACCAAACACCGCTGGAGGAACAAAGGATCCAAGATGGCCAACCGCCGCGTGGTCGGTAGTCGAACGACGGCCACCTAGGAGAGCCTCTAATTACTGATTGCAACATTGTTGCAATCGGTTAACAAGAGCCAAAATAAAAAAGGAAAATAGGTGTAGCGCTGTAAACATACATATAGTGGAGTTGAGCCTGATAGATTAATAAAGCATCCAAATGGGGGCAATTCCAATGTCTTATACAATCAACCTAAAACAAGCAAGAAGAAACTCCAATAGTGTAACACCATACAGTAAATATAATAAAAGTTAAAATGTAACCATAAACTCACATTCTCCTGAGCTTAATGCCAAGCTCAGGGTTAAGCGCTTGTAGGTCTGTACAGGCGACCTTCCCCTTCTTTTCACTGGGTTTTATTTCCAAATCGCCTCTAGGACTCAAGTGAAACAGATATAGTATAGCACGTTTATATAGAGTGCTCCCACTTCAAACACACCATATACTCACAAAAGTGGAGCCTCTATATCGGCTCTGTCTCAGTGCGTTGAATGAACTGCAAGACTTTTCAAAGCAGGAACCATAAAGCCCATCCAATAATTAAAAAATAATAATTTTATTACAACACAGGGGTATGGTGAACCCTCTATAAATCTATAAAACACATAAATATAAAATAAATAAATCAATAGCAAATGGGCATAAAAAGTATCATACACTTCTTCCCAGAACGCGTTTCACCGTAACTCCGACGGCTTCCTCAGCTGGGTCCAATGTGTCTTCTCGAAGTGAAGTTATCCTGCTTATATAGTCATCCTCTTCTATTCTGCTGTTTGAAAAAGCGCGCGTTTATTCTGTGGATGTCCGCTCAATATTTGCGTTCCACACCTCTGTTCTTGTCCAAATCACTTCCGCATATGACGTCCTTTCTCTCGATCGGACTTTGTATGCGGATCTCATTCAACAAGTCCAACAATTAATAAAAACGAGGAAAAAATAAAGGTGGTAATGAGCATATATTACTGTACCAAAAAGGAACAATCATCGAATTAATAAATATATAATATACCAAGTAAGAATATACAAACGGAGAATCTACAGTGGATTCTCCTCTTCACTACCTTGCAGCTTATGTTCCAAAGGGGATATTATAATCTTAATTACATTCCCTCTATGTACAATTTTGTCGTATACAGGGATTTAACAGTTACAAAAAACTTATTACATAAAAAATGACACAAATGAATTATACAATGTATCTTGCTAGTTACTTATTATGGATCGCTATCACTTTAAACTCGTTGCATAAAATGGCTCAAAAGAGTTATACAGTATAACTAAATTGTTTCTTATTGTCAATTCAATTTAACTACATAGAAGTCCTAAATCTTATCAGCATATACAGGGACTATCTATAAAGAACGGAGGATAAACAAATAAAATATCTCATAAAAAACGAAACATCCCATTAAGACTAAAAATGTGTGAGAAAATTATATAATCTAGCGCACTAAAAATTCCTGCTAAAAATGACTGCTAAAAATAAAATAAAACCTAAAAAGTTAAATAAGAGATAATTATATGAGGGGGTGGTGGGACATGCCTAACTATCCTTCCAAGAGAGAAAAAAATGTAGAATATATACAGTTGCACATAGACTTATTTCTAAAAAATCATCAATTAAAATCAAAAACCATAAAAAATAAAATATAAATGTAAAAAATCTTGATCTTTTCTTTCTTGCAAAATAGGATAAATATGCATAGAGTATTTATAAGATTTATTATTAAAGCAAACTCGGCTATCCTTCCAAAAAATGGCAAATTTCGAAATCCGTGTTGAGTCCATAAGGGATGAGAGTATTAAATTCAAAAATCATACGCATTTCCTCTCTGCTAAGTTTCTGGTTAAAATTACCTCCTCTCCAGTCTTTTGAAACCTTTTTGATGCCTAAAAATAATGAACCTAAGGGGGACTGATTATGAAAATGTTTGTAGTGCGCTGATACACTATGATTCTCTGCGCCTTTCATAATCAGTGGCGTCTCCAGCATTCATATTTAGGGAGGGCACATGGGGGGCCGGGGACAGAAGTAGGGGGGCAATTACACACACACATGGAGAACATTTAAAAGTTAACAAAATTCACCTTGATAAATATGCTTAAGTCTGCTTTAGAGTTGCAATTGTAACAATATCTCATGATGCCAGAATTGTTACAAAACTAGTTTTAAAAAAAAAAAACATTATTTTTAAAAATAATTTACAACATGCAATTTGAAGGGAATTTAAATTAACACTTCTATATAAATATTTCACATACATAGAAAATGGTCACTTAACAGTGTATTCTCAACGCTACAGTTTAAGCATTTTAAAGTGACACAAAGTTGTATTTTGAAATGCTAATTCAAATGAATTTTTCCTGTAAGAAGAGCAGATTTAGCTCCACTTCCATGAACAATTAAAAATGGTTGGCACTAAAGTTTGTGCCCTGACCTATAGTTGGTGAATACTATACCAACACAAACTAAAATTACTTGTTTCATTCTCTTGCTCACAATATGGAATCCTGGGTACATACATATAATTTACTCAAAAGCTGCAATTAAAGTTCACGTTACTTACAGTAGTAGTGCCACTGTCTGGAGTGTCTGCTCTGCTCACTCAGTCCCTCTGCAAATTGCACTCTCAGGTAGGTAAGGTTTCACACCTTATGTGGGGCCGCACTGCAAACTGTTTGCAATCTCTGGTAAGTAAGGTGACACTGTCACAACACTGTCTGCAATCTCAGGAGTAAGGACTGTAAGTCTGCCACTGTCATACCACTCACTGTCTGCAATCAGGAGTAAGTGCCACTGTCATACCACTCACTGTCTGCAATCAGGAGTAAGTAACCTTTGTCACACTCACACCACTCACTGTAATCAGTGCAATTAATTCACTTTTCTCAGAACCTAGATGTGGCAGAGGCAGCGGGCCACAATACCTGCTCCTCTCTGCATGATCTGTTCTGCCTCCTTTGCTCTTGCTCCTCTATGCTTGCTCTGCTCTGCCTCCTCTCTGCATGCTGTGCTTCTATTTGCATGGTCTGCTTTTACTCCTCTCTGCTTGCTCTGCTCCGCCACTCTCGACTTGCTCTGCTTTTCTCTACTTACTCTGCTCCGCTCCTCTCTACTTGCTCTGCTCCTCTCTGCTCTTGTCCTCTCTACTTGCTCTGCGCTGCCTCTTCTCTGCTTGTTCTGCTCCTCTCTGTTTGCTCTGCTCCTGCACACATATTGCCTAATACATACAAACCCATACACGCACACTGCCTAATACATCCATCCATACATTTATACACACATATTGCCTGATACATATACACACACACTGCCTAATACATCCATCCATTTATACACACATATTGCCTGATGCATACATCTATACACACATATTGCCTAATACATAGACCCATAAACGCACACTGCCTAATACATACTCACTGAATACTTACATCCATACACACACACTGCCTAATACATCCATCTGCACACACATATTGCACAATACATATATTGCCTAATACATAAACCCATACACGCACACTGCCTAAAACATACATCCATACACACATACTGCCAAATACCAGACATCCCATGTCTCCCGGTAGTTCAGGGAGACTCTCGCATGTTGAATGCGGTTCCCTGACACACACGCAGATCATACATAATATCCCGAAAATCACACACACAATCAAATCTATAAAGTATGACTTCTGTGCATGTCAATATGTGTGTGTATCTGTGTGTGTTTCAGTGTGTGTATCTGAATGTATGAGCCAGTGTGCGTTTCAATGTGTGTATCTGTGTGTCAGTGTGTATGTGCCAGAGTGTGTGTATGTGCCAGTACGCATATCTGTGTGTCTGTGTGTGTTGGTGGAGGGGGGGGAGTAAGCGCAAGCATGTCAGGGGGAGGTGGAGTGACCGCACATGTGCACGGGGGTGGCGTAGTAAATTGTGAAGCCACCTCCCTGAAATGCATTTTTGCATGTTTGGATACATTTTACATTAAATATATAATTTATAGCTGTGATAATAATATTTTCATTCATTTGGTGGGATTTTATTTATAATATTGTGGGATTTAATTTATAGTAATGGGTTTACGTTAATTAATGTTACAGTGAACCTATCTAACTAAGAAACATTTTTTTCATTATAATCTATCAAATGTACTATGAATATAATTGGTCGCATAGTCACTCGCACACGTCACTTACACACTCTAACATACACTACTTACTGAAGTATACACACGTCACACACTCTCACTAACACATGTATTAAGTATATACACAATGTCACTGACACACTCACTAACACACTATTATTAAGTATACACACAATGTCACACACTAACACATTATTATTACGTATACACACGTCACTGACACACACTATTAAGTATACACACAATGTCACACACTCCCACTAACACTCACTATTATTAAGTATACACACAATGTGCCACAATCTCACTAACACACACTGTTAAGTATACACATAATTTCACTGACACTATTAAGTATACACACAATGTCTCACTCTCTCACTAACACACACTATTCAGTATACACATACTCTCACTAACACACACTAATCAGTATACACACACACAATCAATGTCTCACACTCTCACTAACACACACACACACAATGTCTCACACTCTCACTAACACACACTATTCAGTATACACACACACACAATGTCTCACACTCTTACTAACACACACTATTCAGTATACACACAATATCTTACACTCTCACTAACACACACTATTTAGTATACACATACACACAATGTCTTACACTCTCACTAACACACACTCTTACTGAACTATACACACACAATGTCTTACACTCTCACTAACACACACTATTTAGTATACACATACACACAATATCTTACACTCTCACTAACACACACTATTCAGTATACACACAATATCTTACACTCTCACTAACACACACTATTTAGTATACACATACACACACTGTCTTACACTCTCACTAACACACACTATTTAGTATACACATACACACAATATCTCACACTCTCACTAACATACACTATTCCGTATACACATACACACAATATCTTACACTCTCACTAACACACACTGTGACAGATTCATCTGTATTGCTGGTTCGTCTGTTTCCCTTTGTTCGCTGAATTGCCTGTTCATATAACCCCGTTCGTGTAATTTGCAAACTACCGATTGAAGCTACTGAACGAACGACCACCCAGGAGAGGAGTGTGCTGCTGGTTAACCTCTTGGCCCCAATTAGAATGTTGTGGTTAACCGCAGACACCTCTCCATTCCATTCGTACGGGTGGTCGTCGTTCGCATGTCGACCACGAGGCAGCGGCCATTTTGGGACATACGAACACATAGCGGTGTTCGGTACAAACTGTATGGAACTAAAAACGGACACTTAAACTACCGAACACCGCTGGAAGCTGCTGCCTACCTTCCATTTCGACAAGGCATGCGAACGTCGGTCGTTCGGGAGTTTTATTCATTCGTATGGACTTTCACCCAGACAGCCATCCCATGGAGTCATTCGTATACCGAAGGACTGGTGAAAGACTTTGACTCCATGGCGATTCGACTAGATACATCAGATCTGAGCGCTATTCGGTGAAAACATGCACTCAGATCCAGGCTGTCTGGGGATACGTTACACGAACTATATGCATTCGGTATTTCTGCAGTTATGTATTTTAATGTATTTTTATTATTGTAAGTTAAAATGGCGATTGTCTCTACCTTGGGAGATAATTAGGTTTCTTCCTAATTATCTCCGAGGTAGAGAAGACGGAATTATGGGCAAGATGGGAAGGGCTATTATTGAAGCCACTGCGATTGGCTACTGTATAATATATTTTACAGTCTTCCACAAGGTCCCCTCGGGGAGTGTCCACCTTGTGGAGACCTGCATAAATACCGGGCAGGTAGCCCCCATTAAACAGATCTTCATTTGACCCTCAACACGGAGCTTGGTCTCGTTTGTGGGGGAATTATTACTGGGACAGCGCTTTCGTTATTTTTAGCTGTGGAAGGCGTTCGACTGTTTTGCTGATCGGGAGTTGCCGTGTTCGTGGACTTCGTTCGGGAGTTTGGCGGTCGGCTGGATTTAAACTGCATTTCTGGAGAAGGGGATTATTGACTAAACGGCGGCTTCATTTACCCGACGGTACGTGTCGTAACAATTGGTGGCAAGCGACGGGATGAATCCTACAGCCCAGAAGGCCAGCTACACATCCCAGGTTGGAAATGCAGTATGAAGAGTTAAGGCGTGCTACCCTTAAAGATATATTAGAACGCAGAGGACGATCAGCGAGTAATCTCAAGAAAAGAGAGATTATTGCTATACTATTGGAAATGGATGCAGCACAGGGAACGGGAAGAGCTGATGTGCCTGGCATACTGGAGTTAACACCCGAGGAGATACAGTTTAACCGGGCAGTTCAGATCAGGCTGGAACATTTTGGCCCCAACCCCGCAGCAGATATTGTGGTGCAAGTGCAAGCAGCAGTAGCAGCACAACAGGCGCTTCAAGGAAGAGGCGCTGCAGCAGCTGAGGTACCGTACAATAATAATGGAAGGAGAAAAGTACCTTTTGCTGCATTTCGGAACTTTGTAGAAGCCGAAGGAGAAATTGATGGGTTCCTGGCTGATTTTGAAAGGCAATGTGCCTTACACCAGGTACCCGCAGGAGAATGGGTCCCCATCCTCTCTGGGAAGTTATCCGGCCGGGCCAGTGAGGCGTTTCGGGCCATCCCAGAGGAGGAACTTACCAGCTACAGGGCAGTGAAAGATGCCCTTTTGGCCAGATACGCTGTGACCCCTGAGGCATACCGGCGGCGATTCCGGGACACTAACAAGCAGGCTGGTGATTCTTATGTTGAGTGGGCATGCCGAGTACACCGCACCGCAGCCCACTGGATGGCAGGGTGCCAAGCGGTAACTGGGGAAGAAGTGCTGCAAGTATTTTTGTTGGAGCACTGT